TAGCCGGTTTCATCTTCTTTGAAAAAATTCGATAGAAATCCAGTCCTTTCTCGACAGAGTGGGGCAGTAAAGGGTAAATAGTGCCGGTATTTCTTCATTCTATAAGAAAGTCAATGCCTACCTTAATAGGAGGCTCGGAAAAGCGACACTATTCTGCCCGAAAACTTCAGTGTTGCCTTCGAGAACTTCATATGACATTTGGAATGGGATTGCCTAGGATCAAAGGTCGACGGCCACTACTCTTATCACTTACGCTTCGCAGACGACATCATGAACACCGAACACAGAGCAGGTGGAACGAACGCTGGCCCTATTTGACAAAGAATGTTGAAAGATCGAGTTAAGAATGAAGTTAACGAAGACGATAATCATGAGGAACGTGTTGCTATCTGATGCTTTCATTACCTCGAAGGGAACGAGTATCTCTGGCTATTTTAGTTTCGTGTTTATCTAGGTCGAGGGATCAACATGATAAACGACCTAGCTCCAGAACTGAACAGAGGAAAATGCGCCGCGTGGAGAGTTTTCAGGAATATCGAAAGAGTAGTGAAGCTGCTGCCTTCCTGCACTTCCATGCGCCTCGGAGACTCGGACTCTACTAAAGCAGAATAAAGATACTGTCAGTATCGCTCCACGCGTTTTATAAACGACGATGCTGAGAAACCCCCTATACACGCAAATGCACAAGGAAGGTTTGGGCTCAGAGCTCTGTCAACGAACGAAGATTAGGGGTGTCGTCGCGCCAAAAAAATAGAAGATCAGGTGGGCCGGATACGTCATGCGATATAGTGATGACCGCTAGACCAGGGCGATTACTGACTGGATCCCCCGGGGCATCAAACGATTTTCAGGGCCGCCGTCAACAAGATGGTCGAGAGCTTTGAACGAAATGAATGTTAGATCTCGTGTCCCTGAAGCGAGGTCGATTCACCGCACCACTTCGGCTCAGAAGCGAATGGAGACGTTACTGAGATACAGCAGGTTAAGGTAGATCATCGCTATCCTCTGTTTCTTCTAATTAAGTAGAAGTCCATCACCTCTATTGCAGTTGCCATGACGACGTACCGTGGAGGCAGAAACATTGTCACATGGAACTCCTGAATTCGGGTAAGGCTCATGTCTCAGTGGCGTTCTATAGCCCCTGCAGTGTCAAACGAGAACGGATTTCATAAACAGCTGATCACGCCTGTCAGACACTCCTATCGGTTGGTAATATGCATTCTTCACGAGCCTGCTGTTGAAACGCGTGTCACGGTGAGAGTTCTACATAGAACAGCTTTTATTCCGATCCTTCTGAGGCAGAATGAGGTAGCAAAAACATCTTAAAAACTAAAATGAATGGGTATATGCAATTGTGGATGAAGCCAGCATAGAGCTCAGAGGATTGAAGGAATTTCTTAAGAAAATAAATACTGCTAAGGGTTTTTTTCTAAATTTGTCAAACCTCAATAGCTGAGTAAGAGACAAAAACACAAAACTGAGTATTGCGTCAAAATTATTGATGGCGTGAAAAGTTTTAACCATCTGAAAGCCGCACATTTCCGGGAAGGTCGTGGCGAATTGAGCTAAGAGGCATTTTTACAACCTTATTTTATTTTATTTATTTTTTTTATTTGGGAAGTCATAGGGCTATACTCAGAAGGCTAGTAGATAAATCTCGGTATCAAAGGGAAGGTCGCAAAGCGCCCAAAGAAGCATAGTAAGGACGTAATCAAGTTTATCGTCACATAGGTCGGTTCCACTGTGGGGCGCCACCAGAATAGGAGCAGATGGTGAGCTTTCAAGAGATCAGTGCGACCATCGACTGGTCTCTGCGAAGGGAGTGCAGAGAAGGATAGGCCAGTCTTGCAAAAACTGAAAGGTCAGCATTGGTCTTTCAAGGCGTCGCACGACCGAACTGATCACTGAAGAGGCTCTCAGGGCTTTAACAAAATATCATCAAATCACCAACTCTCACAACTAAAGTGAACTCCAAACTCATGGTTATTGAACCTTAATTGAACATAGTAAGAGTGCTCTAACATGCTATATTCTGAGACGACCTTTTATAGAAGTGCAATAACATAAAGTTTGAGACTTTGCGTTCCGATAGAGCCAGCCGTTAGTAAAGCCAGAAATCTGCCGACTCAGTTTGCAAGTATTTATTTGCTCGCACCGGGTATAGCTTAGCTTAATGCAATCGGGAATTATCTGTGCCTTTTACCCGGTAATGATGACGTGGAAATCGCAGCTGTCTAAAATGATTCAGATTCTCGTGGGAACGCTCAACACTTTGTAACTACATTCTGGTCCTAACAGTATTTATCGTTGTAATTGTCTCAAGTCAGGCATTAAAATACATCACATGTGGGTGAGTCTAGAATGATCCACTGCTTCTTCCTCACAAATAGTGAAAGCTAGTGTGGGAGATAAACTATCATTATTAACATTTGCTGCTTATTCTTTCTTCTTTCCTCTTCTGGTCATTGGTCTAGCGCCGTCACATGCTTCCATAATGGCAAATGTCAACGCTTCGTTTCGACTACAGCATCTTCTGCTGTCACCTTGCTATCAGCAGGATAGCAGGATCCTTATTGCTGGCTTCCGCCACATCTTCTTTCGTGCTCTTCGAACCGCTCACCTCGATTCCGAATTTCATCGCATTTTACCGGGTGTTCCTTTGGCCTTTTTATATCCGATACATATCATCGCCGATGCTACTCTCCTGGCTTCAGCTGTTCAGGGGCTGTTTGCGTAATGTATCTGGCTTCTTAGTGCCTAATCTAGTTCGAGCGTAGGCATATCTCAACATCGAAGCGTCGGTGGCCATCATAATCCTTGCTTGCTGGTCATCACTTGCCGTCTAGAGCATCGTGGACTCCATCACTACCTGGCATACGCTTTCTTTGAGCTTGACAGAGCGCCGTCAGTTGCAGGGAATACAAACATTGACTCGAGCCTTCAGAGCCTGGTCTACAGTCGATTGCTGGACTACTTTCCACGACCATACCAGAAATCTTGAGCTTTTCAGACGCAGTCTTTGAGACAGCGTACGGCACTTTTTGCAACTTAGGAACTTGATCTTCTTTAGGTCCGACAGGAAGACATCCGTTTGTGTTTTCCACCAGCACCTTTTGCCACTCTTACGGCTTGCATTGGTGTCTTTTCTCTGCTCTCCACTACCAGGACGACGTCACCAGTGTAGCAGATCATCATCAGCGGTCCATTCATAGTTTTTTCATGATGGCATCTATGTTAGCAGGAAGTGGGATGGGCTTTGATTCTTGTTCACCCCAACCCCGATGTATATTACTTTTGTTGAGCCATGAATGGTGCACATAATCGTCTTGGACCGGTCGCACACCTGGACCTGGACCTAGCTTGACCAGGGAGATCAGGTGTGCTGAGACGTCTCGTTGCGCTCTACAGAGGATTGGTTGCGTGGACCGACAAATGCCTTCTCCTGATGGACGGAGGCTAGGTAGCAGGGCCTGCGCTTTCTTGGTGCTTTTTCATCACTTGTCTAACTAGTGGCATCGCAACCTTGAGTCAAATGATGGCATCGCAACCTTGAGTCAAATAGCCGCTCGTATAATTACCCGATCACCATGCTTCCCTATCCTCCCTCTCCCCCACCCCCCTCTCCCCTAAGGGAGCACTTCATATCGTCTTTCTTGTGCTTGAAGATGGGGACAATACTGCTCCTCCACTGCATCAAAAGCTTCCTCTCAGCTCTAGTTTTCAGGAGTTGGGCCTGCTACCGAATCACGGCTCCTCGAGCGCCGTTCATGCATCCACTGGTACCATGCCGGAATAAGTCGATTCCCCATCTATCATCTTTATCATTGCCCAACTATTCTCCTTTCTATCTCCTATTGCGATGCGACTAGGTGTCGGCTATAACATGAAAGCTGCCTATAACAGACTGTTATTGCGTGTTTCAATGCAATTTTTTGGACATTTGACAAGACTACTGGCTAATCTAGGTATCACTCTTTCTGAATCCTTGTCCTTCTTTGTCTGTCTCTCTCTAGGTCTTTTGTTTGGTGGGCCCAGGAGTTTTAGAAACTCTATTTTTATTTCAGGAGTGTGTATACTGCGGGATATCCTTCTTCGATAAGGCAATGCACTTTTTGCATAGAAGACTGCACGCAGAAAACAGTTCCTGGATATGCAATTTCTGCGGAACGCACTGTGAAGAGAAATATATGTTCAACGCTCATGTATTCTTTGCAAATCACTCAGCTTATCGAGCCTCTCCCGTGCAACAGCGCTGGTACTACTTCTGAATGTTGTCCCCATAGCAAATCTAAACAAGCATTGTGATACTTCCATTGTTGTTATGTTACTCTAGTTGATTAAAATTGCATTTTTGTCTCGAGGTCATTACCAACAATGTTGAGTTCAACGCTAAGCTAGCTGAGTTTTAGGAAGGTTAAGCCATGTTGATTTTTNTTTTTGCCGTGATCGCAACCTCCATCTGTATGGCCACGACATTATCAATTTTCCAAGCTCATATAAATAACGTTTTTGCAGCTAATTTTGCATCTTTGCCTACAACGAAATTGATGAACTTGAACGTTTTCCGCCGACATGCAGAATAATTTTGATGAGCGTGCAATTCGATGGAGACAGCGTACAGGTTCTGTTTACTCTAAAACCGGCAACCAACGAGCACTGAGAGTCAAGCAGTTGATAAAACAACCTGAAGTAGAAGAAGGGAGAAGAAAGAAGAGAAAGGAGGGAACAAAAAAAAATGCTGTCTTGTCTCTGTTGGAGACCTGGAAATTTTCAAAGAAGAATTTCTAACCAAGTTGATCGACATGTTGAAGGATAACTATAGTTGTCCTAATGTAGGCATACTACGCTGATGATAGCTCCAGGCACATGTGTATCAGGTTCTAGCGCATGTTGACCTCTGCTGGTGAAGACCAGAGTTACGATGCTGCAATTTAGAGAAAATCGAGACTGCAAAGTTCTCCAAATTTTTGTGTGCGATCCTGTGTTCAGTTCTACTCGATGGAACGAGCTTGAACTCTCTTTTAGGTTGGTATGTAAACCTTATGCATTTGACGACTCAGCATGATTGCCCTCTTCAGAGCCTGAGCGGATCAAAACAACTTGTGACTGATAGATCAAAGCCTATTACACCTCTACGAAACTATGGTGCTCCGACAGTAAGCTGAAGAAACGCATAGACAGCGAACATTCAAACCCTTCACAATTCAACAACAACGCTTGTTTCAAGCAGAGACATGATCGATCTTCATTAAAAACCACTGTGGGGTCTATCCTATAGCAAACCTCAATTACGTGAGATAGAGAACCACTTGAATTTGCGGTAACTTTAAATTGCTGACCTGAGTTCAAACGCATCCCTCTGAGGTTCCACCCGAATCAAATGCGGCTCCCGAGGATGGTCGAAAACACCGTCCAAGCACGGCGTTATAGGGACTACAGAACCGGCTTAGCCGACGTATACATCCAGGTGTTAAAAACTGTAAAAGTTGTAGAGGTTGCACCATTCGCATCGGGACCCACAACTTGTACGCAGGCAGCGTATTGCAGCCATATGTATGCAATGGCGCACGCATTTAAACAGCACGTCAAAATACCCCTTCCATGCCGCTTTTTCCGTAACGTTCTCAACCAACCCTCCAATTTCACTTCTTTTTTATGCCCTACATTTTCCCGAAAACGCCAACTCTTCCGTTTTCTTCTCTTTGCTTTCTTTCATTCTCTTTATTCTGACTATTGACTTCCACTACTCGTCTAAAATTAGATTATCCAAAATTACCGTGAACTGCACCTTTAAATTGCTGGGTGCATGTTTCTCATGCGCTCGGCGGAAGCCAGATTAAGGCTACGAGTATCCACTCACGAAAGCCATCCTCAAAAGAGTCCAAGCGCCGAATCCAAACAATCCATCAGCGCCCTTGGTCAAGGCCTTTTCTCAATGTGTCGTGAATGTGACGGGCGGTTGCAGTATGCGACATGAGGGATGAGATAGCTCCTGGATTCGCTGCTTGTACGCGAATGTGGACTGCTACTGTGGGTAATTTTAAATTACACCCGCCAAATTCGCGTTTCTTCAGTACCAAATACTGGTGGCGTCTCATTACTTTTACACTAATCTGAACTATCACTTCTGTTACTCTCACAAAACTGATAACTCACAAATATCGCGAACTGTGCCTAAAACACTCAGGAAGTTGGAGTGTTACGATTTGAGTTTACGAATTCATGGGATAAGATCTTACGATGGCCTCTCCTACATAGTTGCCTACATTTACCTATTTTGCTGCGTAAGATTTTTTTCACCGCTAAGTGCAGATAGATAAAGCTGTCTCTCTCCACAAGTCAGCACTGACCTTGATTCACTTCTCGCCTGCCCTAAATATCTCGTTTTGCTGCATAAGTTTTTTTCGAATTAGCGCAAATTAAACTGTCTTCGTAAACAATTGAGGGAACACCGATCTGAATGTAAACATGCTTTCCCTTGCCTGCCCACATTCTTCTAATACTGATGCATAAGAATTTTTTCGAGTTGAGTGCAGATAAATGAAACTGTCCCTGTGAGCAATGGATCGAACACCGTCTCTGTATGAAAACACTCTACCGCTCGCTTGCCTACAATCGCCTAATCTTGCTGCACGAGAGTTTTTTTGAGCGCAGCCATTTGAAACTGCATATGTCAGTGAATGAGAACCCCAGCTTTACTTGAGGAAACTTTTTTCTCGCGTCTGCCTATATTCACTTGGTTTTGCTGGGTAAGTTTTTTTTGAACTGGGGTCAGATAAATTAACTGTCTTTGTGAACAATGGATAGAACACCGATATAAATTGCAACATTCTATCTATCCCTTGATGGCATCTACCCGATATAGAGTATAGGTTTTTTTCACAAATAATCGCATATAATTAAGCTGTCTGTAAGAACAATCGAGAGAACACAGTCGTGAATTGTAAAAATTCTTTCCCTCGCTGGACTGCATTCACCTGATTTTGCTGCAAGAGGTTTTTCTCACCTCCGGGTGCAGATACACTAAACTGTCTCTTTTCACAATGGAGCCAACATTGACTTTGATTGACTTCTCGCCTGCCTTGATCCACCTCATTTTGCTGCATAAGGTAATTTTCGAATTGAACACAGACAAATAGTTTGTCTGTGTGAAAGACTTGTTCAACACCAGCCTCATTAAGAATACTTATTCTCTCGCTCGCCTGCATTCACCTTACTTTGCTGCATAACGGTCTTTTCGAATTGAGTGCTGATAAACGAAACTAGCTTGGTGAACAGCGGATTGAACACCGACCTGAATTGGGAACATTCTTTCTCACGTCTGCCTTCATTCACTTGGTTTCGCTGAATAAAAATTCTCTCAAATTGAGTGCAAATAAATGAAACTGCCTCTGAGAACAATGGAGAGAACACGGTCTAAAATGAACTCAATCCTTCGCATAAACCTATTTTCCTGATTTCGCTGCCAAAAGTTTTTTCTCTGATTGAGTGGAAATGGATGAAACTGTCTCCGTAAACAAAGAAGAGAACGACTGCCTTCGATGAACACATTATTTCTTTCGCATAAACCCACTTCCCCTAATTCGCTGCCCAAAGTTTTCTCTTGGAATTGAGTGCTGGTGAATGAACTGTTTCTGGGAACAATGGAGGGAAACGAACAGAATTGAGAGAATTCCACCCATCACTTTATTACATTCATATGTCATCTCCCTTTAATGTTTTTTTTCGAATTGAGTGCCATGGATGAAACTGTCTCCATACTCTCGCATGAACAAAATTTTCCTGAACTTACAGCATAAGCTTTTTTTTTAAAAATTGAGCGCAGATTAATGAAGCTTTCTCTGTCATCAATGGTGTCAACACCGACCTGAATCGA